AAGGTGAAACTTCATCAAGTGAACTAGAGTCCGGAATAAAAACAGAGGCAAAGTATTGAGCTAGAGCTTCAGCTTTGGCTGCGTCATCGACGTACTTGGTTTCCAGCCTCATCCTGAAGCACTGGAAGAACTGTACGAGGTTTCCATTTTGTAATTTCATTCAGGAAAACACCGCCTTGCTGTTTGGATCCGAGCCAGCATGCCTTTCTCTGTAGTTCAAGAACCTTCTCAAATGGCGATCCAATGCTAAGCAAACATTTTTGTAGAGAGGGTCAGTTAAGGCATTGGGTAGTGTGTGGAACAACCGCATTTTTTGAGCCATGAGGTTCAACAAATGCTTGGGATAACGCTGCTTGTGTATTTGTGGGGACTGCAAAGGTACAAACCTAGACAGACCCAAATAAAAGACACCACCACACGACATCTCTCCTTTATACGACTTAGGCCGTATCACAGGGAGTAGAAGGAGGGGGGGGGGTGGCGAAGGAGCTTCAGCTTCGTTGACTAGAACGAAGCCTGCTAGACGAGAGACGAGCATGCTCCCTTCGGCTGACTCCCGTCTTTTATGGGGACCACTCAGAAAAGAGGTGAGAGCGGCGAGGGACCAGGGTGGGAAAGATGGGTGGAAAATTTGGAGATTAACAGGTGGAGGGTGAAGAAAGATTAAGGTAGAAAAAAGGCGGAGATTTGGGAGAAAGGTGTATAAGTGGTGAGGGATTAGGTTAGAAAGAATCTCTGATCGACTCACCTCCTCAGGCAATGTTTACTTTTTGCCCCCACGATCTCCTGGTCAATTGACCATCTACCGACGAGTCGGGTCTCCCCTCAGGAAAGAAGTGAAGGAAAGTGAAAAATGAGAGGAGGAAGGAGGCAGAAGAGCGATGAGAAAGGAAATGAAGAATGAGGTGAAGTGGAGCGGGAAATTGAGGAATAAGGAATTGAAGTAGGTGTGAGAAGGAAAAGATGAATGAGGTGTAGTGGAGGAAGGTAGAAAGGAATAAAGGAGAGAACGAAAGGGAGAAAAGAAGTGGGAGCGGTGAGGGATTAGGGTAGGCAAGAGGGGTGGAAAATTTAGAGAGGAAAAAGGTGGAGGGTGAAGAAAGGTAAAAGTGGAAAGAAATGGTGGGATTAGGAGGAAAGGTGGAAAATTGATGAGAGATTAGGGTAGAGAGAAAGGAGGAGAATTTAGGGGGAGCGAAGGTGGAGGAGTAGTGAGAACCGAAGTGAGGAAAGAGGTGGAGTGGAGGGTTAGAAGGAAGGAAGAGTGAAAAGTAGAGGGAAGGAGGTGGAAGAGTGGTGAGAAAGGAAATGAAGAATGAGGTGGAGTGGAGAAAGGTAAGAAGGAAGGAAGAGTGAAAAGTAGAGGGAAGGAGGTGGAAGAG